CATGAAAACAATTTATGTAGAAATTTGCTAATTCAAATCACTGTTGCTTAAGGAGAGTAGTGTCGGTCATCAATGATCACTAATAATGTCATAACCTTTATGCTGAAGAAACAAAATGTGGCTCCCAATCGGGATATGTATAACTTAATGGACCGAAGCACTTTAAGACCTCCAACCCACCTCTTCCCTGCACCGCCCTACCATACTCTGTATTATATCAGTTCATTTTGAAAAAAAAATTTTTTTTTTGAAAGCATTTGATCAATTTGCCTAATTTTAACTGGCTGCTCGATGGACTGATTTTGATCAAAAAAGTCTCGACTTCTTCATTCCACTCAACAGCACGCTGTCATCGCACAATGAATGCCATGCCAGCGAACTGTTTTTACCGGCAGCACGTGCCACTACCGGGCTCAGTTTTTCACGTCTCTAGTTTTCGAAAAGACTGAACAGTGGAAGCGGTTTTTATATACGCGACAAACTAATGTCCGCAGAAAACTCAACGCACTAGCACTTCCTCCAACTGCTCCTGAGATATCATAGCGTTTAAATCTCGCTACAGATAATCAATAATTTTTAAAACTCACCTCTAAATTCACGAGATGTTCGGAATCCAGAAATTCCGCAACTGTGAAACACATCTCTCTAACATTACAGGACGCCACAGATACCAAACGCTAAAAACAATACCATACATTTTTGTATTATCAATCTTGATAAAGTCATGGAAAAAAAGTGTGGCTCTGAAAGGGGCACATGTAACTTAATGGACTGAAGCATTCTAAGACCTCAAATCTATTAAAAGATGAACAAAGAGCAGACAGCATTTTGGCACGATAGTAAAACAGATTCAAGGAGATCCAAATGAAACCTGACACTGAGAGAAGACATAACGGCATGATATGCATGGTACCGTTACGAGCGATCCAATTTAATTTCTAAAAAGAAACAGATATACCTCAGCCGAGTTGTGCTGCTCCGCGCTGATAGCTAATGCCGCCACTGTTGTAAGCTCGTACAGTTCAGCACTTTCGCCAAAAATCTCTTCAAAATCGTTCGAACAACCCAAAGAGCCCTTCAAAGATAAGCACTGTTATGAAGTGATTTGGAAGACTTTTATTTCCAGGACAACACAGTACACTGTCACCACAAATCGCAACCGCTGGCTCTCCAAAGCAGTCTTAGCGATCAATAGAGGATGAGGAACACACACGGCACAATCTGAACCACTAGATAAGTGTGCAGTAGCCGCAACGATGTCTAATGAAACTACGTTAGAATCCGAGCCCAACTGGTAGGCCTAGTGGTTTAGTGTAACAAAGGCTGCTTTCGTGCTCGGAACGAAGAGGGTTAAATTACGTCAACAGAAAAGCCAATCTTTTTATGTATCGACGATTCGTTTCCATTGTAAACTGGTAATGGCACATGCGCAAGTTCACCATCAAGTTCATAAGCAACCTTTGGAAGGCGCAGGGATGAACAGTATGGCGAGCAGATGGCTGCTACGATGCCAAACACTTTTAAAGGTGCAATAATTCCCAGAGAAGCGCGCAGTCTTGAGAGTGCAAAATCTAAAATATCGTGCAGAAGCAGGCATCTATCAGCCATACTACCGCAATCAGTCTAATAAATCAACAGCAAAAAGTGTATACCTTTGCTTTCAGCTCCCACTGCCCATCTCTGGCAGCGTACACCTCCACACGATAGTGCTTCACCAGAATAGCGTCTCGAACGATCCGCAGGTACTGTGTACTGTTAAGGATGTGATAAGTGAGCTCGACCTCGCCTAAAACCATGCTGAATAACTGCCCGTTGCCGAACAAGTAAGCCAGCATTGCAAACATCGCAACACAGTATCAACTACACAAAAATGTATTTGAGGTTCCTTACTCAATTAGGAAATGAAATTTTAAAAAAAAAAGGTCCATGCAGAGAAGGACAAGGGCCTCCCAGCATCGCTCTCTCACTATTCTTACAGCTGGAGCATGGCACTAGTGAAAACACCCATATCGCTTACTCCCCACGTTTTAAATCCTTTGTCTGAATTTAACAGCGAGGGTCTCACAGAAGCTGCGTCAATATGTTAGCCCTCAAAGGGGACAGAAAGGACATGGCAAAGCAAGCCGAATTTCTCGGAAAGACGAAAAATACTGAAACATGAATGAAAGGCAACAAACGGGACAACAATGCGCTGACCTTACAAAATTCAGCAACTGTTACAGCAACTGCCAAATGCGACTACGAATGATGTGACACAGACTGGACACCAAATCCACAAGGAAGAAAACAAAGTGCTTGAAGAACGCGTACTGCGCACAATTCGAATAAATAGTAGCGCGCACCAGGCCAGCCGCTGCGATTATGCGCAGTTCCGCTAAGGACTTCCCTTGCCCGCTAAGGATTTCCATTGCTTTGCAGTTTGGTCTGTGTAAAAATAGTTTAAATTCTGTTTGATTTCTAAGTTGCAAAATTTTCCACTAAAACCTTGTACGGTGAACATTATTCCAAAACCAATTTCCTAATTTTCTGGATTTTGAGTGTTTTTCGCGCCAAAACTTTTACGTGGCCATGCGTGAAACCTCCGCATACTTAGGAACTAAATTTGACCTTTTGTAGCCCCTGCATAGGCAGAAAACATCCCCTGAAATTTTCAACCTCCTACTTCCTTTTAACTGCCGGGTAATAATTTTTCCGCCAAAACATTCACGGGGACGTTGAGACCCAAGCGTATGTGAAAGCCAAATTTGAATCAGCAGGTCACATGTGAGCAGGGAACAACGCCCTAAAATTTCAGCTTCCCAGCTTTCGTGATTCCCAGGGTAATTTTCCTCGCCAAAACTTACAGTCTCGTATGTGGTATTCAGACTTAAGGGAAAGCTGAATTTAAAGTTGTAAAGTTGCACTTGGGTAGGAGATATTACTGCAAAATTTAAGTTTCCTAGCTTTCATAGTTCCCGAGATAGTGATTTCCCCGCCAAAACTTTCATGGGGTCGTACGTGGTACCTAGAGGTGAGTGAAGACTGAGTCCAAATTCGCCGGGACGTACGTTGGTAAAGGAAATCCCCTAAAATTTCAAATCCTCAACTTCCGCGGTTCCTGAGATAATAATTTTTCCCGTCGAAATTTTCACGGGGCAGTAGGTGATACTCGAGAGCGTGGGAACGCTGAATTTGAATTTGCGAGGTCGTACGTGGGCATGAAACATATCACTAAAATTTCAGCATCCTGGCTTCAAATGTTTTCGAGATAATAATTTTTCACGCCAAAACTTTTACGGGACCGTACATGTTACTCGCGGACACGAGGAGGATGGATTTAAATTTGCGGGATCATACGTGCGTGGGGAAAACACCCCCAAATTTTCAGTTCCCGAGTTTGAATCTGCGGACAAGTTGCTGCGGACATACAGACACACAAACACATACACACAGATACCCCCGCGACAATATACGTTTTGTACTGCTGGTACACAACATAAAATGCATAAAAATGCAAAAGTAGCGGCGCGCACCAGAGTAGCCGATACGATCATGTGTTTTGTGCAGCTCCGTCCAGCAAACGTTTGCCTGATAAGGATTTTCGCCACTTTGCATTTTAGTATGTGCAAAAATAGTAGGAAAATAGTCCAGTTTCTAAGCTGCGAAATTTCCCGATAAAGCCTTGTACAGTAAACATCCTTCCAAAATCAACCCCCTATTTTCTGGCTTGTGAGTGATTTTCCAGTCAAAACCTTTATGTGGTAGTGCGTGAGACCTCGGCATACTTGGGAATTAAATTTGAATTTCTGTGGACTCTGCATAGACAGAAAACATTCTCCTGAAATTTTCAGCCTCCTACCTCTTCAGGCTTCCTGGTAATAATTCTTCCCATCAAACATTTACAGGGGCGTCCAGGCCCAGGTGTACGTGAAAGATAAATTTGAATTTGCAAGATCGCGCGTGGGCAGAGGACAATAACCTAAAATTTCAGCTTTCCAACTTCTGTGGTTCCCATATAAATTACTCCCACCATAACTTTCACAAGGTCATACTTGGTACCTAGATCTAAAAGAGACCTGGATTTAAAGCTGCAGAGTCGTATTTGGACAGGAGACATTACCGCAAAATTTTAGCTCCCTAACTTTGTTGATTCGCGAGATAATTTCCCCACCAGAACTTTCACGTGCCACACGTAACACCCGAGTGCGCAGGAAGGCTAAATGTAAATTTGCGGGTTTGTATTAGGGCGGCGCACATTACCTTAAAATTTCAATGTCCCGGTTTTCGTTTTTCCCAAGATAATAATTTTCTCTGTCAAAGCTTTCGTGGGGTCATACATGGTACCTGCGCGTAAATAAAGGCCAGATTCAAGTTTGTTGGGTCGCACTTGGGCATGGAACATTCTTCCAAAATTTCAGTGTCCCAGCTTTCGTGGTTCCCGAGTTGAAAATGCCGGACAAAACGCACTCGGACACGTACATACACAGACAACCCCGTGACAACATGCATTTTGTACTGCTGTTGCACAGCAAAAAACGCATAAAAAGGACTCGAGAAACAGCCTGTTCGAGTAGTGGACAGCTATTTAAGAAATCAGTAGAAATGAATAATGCGTTGGACGGACTAAGCAGAGAAAAAAAAAGCAGCACTGACAAACTTCACGAATTTACTAAGCATCTTTGCCTGCACCAGTGAATGCTTCAGTTCCATTGTTTTATTATTTCTACTGTATAGAAATGAAGCAAGGAATAGCACACCTGCTAGGCAGAAACTGTTAGCGGTGAGTAAGCAGATCACCGAACGATGACTCTGACATGCAATATGTTGGGCGTAAATCGTAGAATTAAATGAAACTGAGATAAAAAGTCCGATCGCAAAATGATGGCAAAATTATTCAAAATCCTTACCAATCTGACACCTTTGAAGACCCACATCGCTAAAAAACACTTCGTTGGCGATGAAAAGTGCATCGTCTTCATAGCATGTATAAAAATCCTGAAATTCCATTCATACTTTTAAAAAATACATCACCTACACAGGAAAGAACACTAAAAATTGATCCATGCGATCTGAACTTCGCCATCAAGAAAGCTCCTGGAACACAGAATCTACTGCCAGCCGGCCGCAACCGAAGTCCATTCGTCAACATATTCGACATTTCAAAGAACTAAAAATCTAAGTTTTCAGCTCCGAAGCACCTTTTTTGCACTTTACTACCTGAGGCAAGCTCATCTATGAATCACTGGTGGCATGTAAGTACTAGCAATCACTCGTTCTTTCCTACAAAGTTTGCACATGGAAAAAGACGACGGTAAGTGAGGATCCGAAACATGCATGCAATTAGTTCCTCCTCCATGAAACTCAGTTTGAAAGTGACCTTAGTTCGCAGCCTCTCTCATTCCGCTTAAAATTAACTGGACTGAATTCCTACTATGAAAACTAGGTCTATGGGCACTCTCTGTCCGATAACATTTCTCGCCGCCAAAATGGTTTTCTATCCAACATGCCCCACTCCAAACCGCCTTAGTCCCTTCAGTACAAAACATCCTCTGTCTCTAAATCCACAGTTTATCGTCCTCAGAAAGAAGCAACCGTGGACGTGAGATTATAAGTATGTAACAATTTGAATGAAACAGCGTGAAACTCAGCCGATAAGGCACTCACGGAACCGCACAAAAGGAAAGTAAACCCAGGCGGAAATGCACCAAATCTGGCGGTGCGGTCATGCATTTTTGCAAAAAACTTGAATTAGGTTAACTACATGAATGGTTGTTGCCCCACACCTAACTTGTGCGCTCACTGCCGTAAATCATCACAAATTTTGCATAAGCGAAAATAAACAATTTCCATTTAGCGGTCGTTTTTTATGTAAATTGCAAAAACGCATATTGGGAAGAGGCTGTGTGTGTGTGTGTGTGTGTGTGTGTGTCTGTGTGTTCGCACTTTTTGTCACTCACTTTCAACTTGAGAACCAGAAAAGCAAGAAGGCTGAAACATCGGGAATATGTGCCTATGCCATGCGCTACTCTCCCGTTTTAATTTCATCCCCCGCGGACGTCTGGGTGCCGCGTACGGACGCTTTAAAAAAATATACAAATTTTTTGGCGGAAAAGCGATCTCGGGAATCACATGAACTAAGGGGCTGAAACTTTGCAGAGATATTCCCTGTGCATGTACTAGCTAAAGATTTCAAATTCAGCCCCCAGGTATGCGTGGTACTCACGTACGGGCGTATGGAAGTTTTAGGAGGGAGATTACTAACTCGGGTACCAGGAAGGCCAGGAAGCTGAAGTTCTGGGGGAATGTTCCCTACCCAAGTAAAACTCAAGTTTTTCAAATTTAGCTCCAAGCTATGCATGGTACTCACATAAGGGCGTATGAATGTTTCTGCAGGAAAATTACTAACTCAGCAACCAGAAGAGATGGAAGGTTAAAATTTTAGGTGGATGTTCCCTGTCAACGTGCAATTTAAAAATTTCAAATTTAGCTTTCCAGACAAGTGGACTACCCAAGTACGGGCGTGTCAAAGTTTTGGCGGGGAAATTGCTAACTCGGTAATAAGAAAAGCTGGAAAGCTGAAATTTTGAGGGAATGTTCCCCGTCCAAGTACAACTTAAGCATTTCAAATTCAGCCTTGAGGTATGCCTGGTTCTTACGTACGGTCACTTAAAAGTCTTGGCGAAAAAATTCTCACTGAACAACTAGGTTACTTTTAAAGAACGACTGTTAAATGGAAATTGTTCGTTTACTTTGCAAAATTTATGGTGATTTATAGTAGTGACCGCAAATGGTAGGTGTAAAGCAACAGCCATACAGTTAATGACCTGACTAATTCAAGTCCGGTGCAAAAACGCATGATCGTACGAGCCCGCCCGGCGCGTTTCAGCCTGGGTTTGAAAATGATTTAGCAGCCGTTCAGTGAGCAATTTTCCCGCCAAAGCATTTAGGTGCCCATGCACAAGAAACACGTATATTTGGAGAATGAATCTGAAACCTCTAAGTTGTATCTGGGCAGGGGATATCCACCTAAAACTTCAACTTTCCGGCTTTTTTGTCTTCCGAGTTAGCAATTTCTCTGCCAAAACTTCCACGCGCTCGTATATAAGTGCCACGCGTAGCTGAGAGGCGAGTTTGAAAAAATGTACGTTGACAGGGAAAATTCCCTCAAAATTTCAACTT